TTGTTTTACAAAATTCACTGTTTGAAACTTGATTCTGGCATCCATGATGACAGGAATTTGTTCATTCCTGGAAGCTTCTTTTCTGACATCACTGCCTTGCAATCCTCTTTGGTCATACATATTCCTATGGACAAGAATAGATTTTTTATCAGAACAGGACCTGTTGCAGGTAAGGTTGACCAGCAGGCTTCTTCCTTTTGTCTTATTTTGGGTGTTCTGAGATGAAAAGGTAGCTTGGCTGTTCCAACTTGATTCAGAAGACACACTTGGAGCTCCTGGTCTGCTCTTTTGTCTCCTAGACTGCACATCGGGTCGTTGTTCTTTCTTCTTTGCCTGGTTGCTACCACAATTCTCAACAACTCTTGTGCTGTCATCTTCCAGTTTCATGCCATAGTACCTTTCAGCTCTGAACACTCCAATCTCTTCTTCTGCAGTGATGGTCGTCTTCTTCATGTTTTTGGAGAAGGAAGGGTTTTGGGTTGAGGTGATAGCAGAAGGAAGTTGATGGTGTTCAAGATATGAAGAGATGAAAACCTTGGGAAGATGGGTTTTGCACTCACTTTCCATAGTTCACACAAAACACAGGAAGATGTAAAAACGAACAAGAAACAAGTAGAGAATGGACAAAGAGCAGTGCTGAGGATGTTTATTTCAAGAAGTAAAGGGATGAGAAGGAAAGGAAGTGAATAAGGCAAAGAAGGCTGCAGATTGCTTGGCAAGTTGGAAAGGGGTTCCCATCTTAAGTAGGCTTCTTCCAAGGATTGGATCATAGATAACCCAAAAAAAGAAGGGACCTACTTGGATGAGTTAGATTGGGCACTTGATTTGACTTTCAATAATCATTAACTATAGCAGTTGATATGGTTCTGTAAACTGAATAAAAGTTCTCCCTAACTGTTTCAGATGAGCTTTTATAAACGCAACACTGTTATGCATGCACATCCATATCATTGTTGCGATTATCAACTTTGAAACTGAAAAGTTAGTTAGTTGTCTTCAATTCTATGCTTAAAAGCCACATGGTACGCTCTTTTATTTCAAGGGATTGCAAGAAGAATTCAATTTCCCCCTATGGTTCACATTTTGTTCTTGCAAATTTCCAGACCTTAAAACCAGCTGATGAACTAGATGGTCCTTATGAAGAAAAAATAATGTGGTACCGATAGTATGATAAAACTTCAGAGTTTCCATTGACAAACGACCTTTACTTGGAACTTTCACCTTAAGGATATCGAGGGATATTGTTGAATTAGGGTAGGTTTTTAATTATAAACTTCCAAAATCTATCTATGCGTGCATGAACAATCCAAAAAACATAAACAAAAGACATATATGACATTTGTGAATCATACATATGTTGTTTTCCTCCTTTCACTTCCATTTTTGTTCTTTCATTTATGATTTTTCTTCTTAATGCTAACTCCCAAATTAATTTTGTTCGATGAATTTAACGACAAGAGATCCAACAATTATGTTGATATAATTTAAACCAACTCTATGGTTCAGGTTCCTTTTTTCTATTTTTTCATAACTTAAACTAAATAAAAAAGCTGTCGGGTGGGAAGTAAAATGTGTTACTCTCAAAGGTAAGAAGGGTAATTTTCTTGAAGGAAAGGCACAAAATATGAGGCCAAGAGAATTACAAGATAAATATTCTGTAGTGAAAAGTTTTATACTGAGATTAGGGCAGTAGGATAATTGAACACAAGTCTAGTAGTCTGTTTAAGTTGTTATGCTTCAACGAGCATCTAAAGAACATTCATAATTGTCCTGCAATTGCGGCCTGTGATTTACCGAAGGCCCTTGCCAAGCTTTCCTATTGAATGACGTTTCCAACTCATTTTCCACCATAAAGTTCTTTAATTCCTTGCTATCATGCTGCACTCTTCCAGTAATTTCAAGGCAAATGCCATTGCTTCCGGTTCTGTTTGAGTTTCTGGGTTTGGTGGATTTCTCTCTGGGGCCTGGATCTAAAAAGACGGGATGTATTTGAAGAGATGGGTTTGGTTTAATCCTGTTCACTTCTCTTTCATCTGGTGGCCGCAAGATACTGTTGCGCGATTCAAGTTCAGAAGTATCATCTTCATTCAAAAGAACCTACAGAAGGTCAAATCCAAAATTCATTAACCCAAAATTAAGATAGAGAGAACAAAATGCAGTGGGAACTAGGAGAAGCTAACTTCCCAATAATACATTTCAGGGCAAGGGTTGGTGGTCTATCCATATGTTGTTGGCTAGAACTAAAACATAATTAATCATTTGGTAGAAAATATCAAGTCAATAATAAAGGATGATTACCTTGCGGCCAACCAAGTCAAAGGTTACAACCACTTTGTTTCGTTTAGCTCGCTCAGCCTCTTCAATTTCCTCTTGTTTCTTTCTCAAAAGTTCCTTTTCCTGAAACCAAAATAATAATAATAATAATAATGATGAACTTTCCAGTCAATTTTCTTTTCTCTTCAAAATAATTTGCCAGTCAAATTTTCTCGTCAAAATTCAGTACCTCGATAGACAACCAGTTGTTGCCCTCAATCTGGTAATAATCACTTTGATCATCAATTACAGATGTCCTTGCAGCAGAGTTTCTGTCATATTCAACTAACCTTTTGGCATAAGCTTCAGCTGCTGCTTCAGCATCTGAAAGTGGGGTAAAACCTTCATCCATACCAGCATACGTGCTCCCTTCTCTCAGAACAAGGGAACCACAAAAACTGCATGGCCCTTCTCCCTCTTGCTCACATACAATCTTGCCACATGATAAACAATTGCTTACTAGCCTATGACGACGAGCTTGGCATGAACATGGTTTTCCTTGCTGGAACACAAATGATCCTTTGGCAGCTTCAGCCAGAGAAACAGCTTTGGCAGCCTTCTTCTTTTTGGAAGTACCCTGATTCCCTTTACCAGACAATGAGTTGCGAGTGTCCGATGAAACCTGGTTTTCCACCTTACTAGAGCTGGCGACCTTCTTTGGTTCTATCTCTTTACTGGAGATAGAAATGGTTTTTGGTGTTTTAACAGGTTTCTTGGATCCGCCAAAAGAACCTTCATGGGAGGGTGGCTTGACATAGGCGTGTAAGTTTGACGTTGGAACATCCAATGTTTTGCTGCAGGGGTCAGAGTAGCCTCGCAGGCGTAAATACTCATCTATCACACTTTTCCCAACTTCCTGACCTATGATGTTCTGCAGAAAAGTAAATCCAAAGATTGAACACCAATTCATTTTAAAAGAGAAATACGATCCAACAATCAGATAACCAACTTGCGCATCTCCTTTTCCCTTACCCACGTTTTGATTGGAACAAGTAATTAAAACCCCTATGTTTACAAGAAAGTTTTAATTTATTTAACAAAGAAATAACAGTGCACAGCGCAAGAAGTCAATCTTGTAGCGAGGAATTTTCTAAAATAAGCATCTGGCAATTACCAAAATCATAAGTTCACAGTTTATACGATATTTGCATGCAAATTTATAATTACATGAAAGAGTGGTTAGAGAGAAAGAAAGGGGGAACAGAAACTTAATAACAACGTTATTCTTTTTGAAAGGAGTGTGAGTGACTTTGGACATAAAATTTAAGACAAGCTCAGAAGGTAGTGACCTTGGGGATCTTACTTCCAGTTTCACCTGAGAAGGTTACATATAAGCAAAAGCTTGAATACATGCATGCATCAAAGATCTTTCTTCAGCCCAATTTGCACAAATGAAGGACTTAAAGTAGTCTCAATTTTATAGCATCTAATATTTTTGTTTCAAAATATTGCACCTTCTAAACGGAAAAGAAGTTTGGATTATACTGGCCTAGATTCAAGCAGCAGTTGCATAAACTGGACGAGAAACACATTGCAACCATCATTACTTAAACTTCAGACTAAAAACATGGATGAGAAGTTGACTCCAAGTTCCCCCAACTTCAGGAGATATACAACGAGGGAGATCAACCTAAAAGGTCAGGTTCATTTCACTAGTAATTCAATTGAATAATCCATAAGAACTGTATTGATTTTTCAATTTGATTCCGCAAGAAAGAAATAAATTACTTGCAGCATCTTAAACTGAAATCGTTCGTACATTATGTCAGCCTTACTTAAACTTGAAATATTTTGGGGAACAAAATAAAGAGATGTTAAGAGAAGCCATGAGCAAAACATGGGGTGGAAGTTCATATCTTCACACACCATGAATGAACGAACTGAGATGAGTATACACCTCAAATCCTCAAATATCAAGAACTAACATATATTTCTCAATATCATCACTGTTAAAAACAAGATACTAAATTCGTTTTCCTCCATCAAAACAAACCAAATTCAATAGAAAGCCAAAGATTGCTGAAAAACTTCATTTGGGAATCCAAGCATGGATCGTGATGAATTGGCCAATCGTCAACATTTCACTTTCCGATCTAAATGTCACAATTTCGCATCAGTGAAATAATAATCCATAAAGTTCTCAAGGCGACGAAGCGAGACTCCTAATACAGCGACAATATCTAAAGCCAGACGCGAAATTTATTGATAGAAACAAATCAATCATTCAGATAATTGAAAAAGAGAAAGCCAAGAGAAGAAACTTACATCAAGGTACTCTTTAGCGTCTTGGGGCTGGGCGAGCTCACAATACGAGACCAATCCCGAAATCATATCCTTATCAAGACCCCAACCAGTTTCCATCTTCTTGCAGAGATCGTCCAACGCCTTCTCCAGCCACTGTCCTGACGTCGCCATTGTTCTCTCTACGACGAAAACCCAAGCGACTGATCAGAGCCAAGTTACAAGCCTCGAAACTAAGAGATGAGAACGACGATTGGTAATCCAGAGTTACGCGCACCACATTTATTTTGATACACACGCCTTTAAAATCTTGCCACGTGTAAGGAAAGTGGGTTCCGTCCCTCTTGATCAGTTCAGGCTTCATCCTCCTCGTTTTTCATCCATTTCCACTTCAGTTTCATTTACAGCATCCTCCTGTTAAAACCCTAAATCCCTACTGTGATTAATTTAACCTAATGCTCATTTCGGCCATCGTCTGCTGGAAAAACTTGACTGGAGCTTCGAAGTAAGTAACCTTTTTCTTCTACTCAAAGTTATTGGTGCTTTTGTCAATTTCAATCTTTATGAATGATTAATCTCGGAGGAAGATGAAAACAGAGAGATACGACGCCAACATCTCCTTCCCTAGTTTGCATAGTTTTTCAGAAACTAATGGAGTTTGTTGGTTACTGCTCTATATTGTGCATAATGATCAACCCTTAGAATTCCTTAAGATTTGTGAGAAAACAATCTTTATGAGCTTTGTGTTCATATATCAATTCCTTTATTGAGAATGAATCGAGCATTGCAGCCAAAACATGTAGCTGCTGTTATAAGATATCAAAATGATCCCCTTAAAGCACTCAAAATGTTCAACCAAGTGAAAACAGAAGATGGTTTCAAGCACACATTGGCAACCTATAAGTGCATGATTGAGAAGCTTGGGCTTCATGGAGAGTTTGAAGCCATGGAGGATGTGCTTGCTGAAATGAGGAAGAATATCGACAATAAAATGCTTGAAGGAGTTTATATTGGAATTATGAGGGACTATGGAAGGAAAGGAAAGATTCAAGAAGCTGTGAATGTGTTCGAAAGGATGGATTTTTATGACTGTGTGCCATCGGTTCAATCATATAATGTAATCATGAACATTTTAGTTGACTACGGGTATTTCAATCAAGCTCACAAAGTGTATATGAGGATGAAAGATATTGGAATTCTTCCCGATGTTTATACTCACACAATTAGGATAAAGTCTTTTTGTAGAACTGGTAGGCCGAGTGCTGCTCTAAGGCTGCTTAATAACATGCCTGGCCAGGGATGTGAATTCAATGCTGTTTCATATTGTGCTGTGATCGGTGGCTATTATGAAGAGAACTGCCAAATTGAGGCGTATCATTTGTTCCACGAAATGCTCCAGCAAGGTATTTGTCCTGATATTTTAACATTTAATAAGCTCATCCATGTTCTTTGTAAGAAGGGTAATGTTCAAGAAAGTGAAAAACTCTTCAACAAGGTCCTGAAGAGGGGAGTGTGCCCAAATCTGTTCACATTCAATATCTTCATTCAGGGTCTTTGTAGAAAAGGTGCAATAGATGAGGCTGCTAGATTGTTGGAGAGTATCATATCAGAAGGTCTAACTCCCGATGTAGTTTCGTATAACACACTAATTTGTGGCTTCTGTAAACATTCGAAGCTAGTAGAAGCAGAGTGTTATTTGCGTAAAATGGTGAATAATGGGTTTGAGCCCAATGAATTTACCTATAATACAATTATTGATGGATTTTGCAAGATGGGTATGATGCAAAATGCAGATAAAATTCTCCATGATGCAATGTTTAAGGGGTTCGTGCCTGATGAATTCACCTATAGCTCTTTAATTAATGGATTATGCGATGATGGAGATATGAACCGAGCCATGGCTGTATTTAATGAGGCAATGGAAAAAGGATTTAAGCATAGCATTATTCTCTATAATACACTAGTAAAAGGGTTGTCCCAGCAGGGACTTGTTTTGCAGGCCTTGCAGCTGATGAAAGATATGCTGGAGCATGGTTGTGGCCCTGATATTTGGACTTACAATCTAGTTGTGAATGCGCTGTGCAAGATGGGTTGTCTATCTGATGCCAGTGAATTTCTGAACGATGCAATTGCCAAAGGTTGTATTCCTGATATATTTACCTTTAATACATTGATTGATGGTTACTGTAAACACCTTAACTTGGACAAAGCCATTGAGACTTTAGACACAATGTTGAGTCATGGTATAACTCCTGATGTGATTACATATAACACGCTCTTAAATGGCCTTTGCAAGGCAAAAAAGCTAAACAGTGTGGTGGACACTTTTAAAGCGATGCTCGAGAAGGGGTGTATACCGAACATAATTACATACAACATATTGATTGAAAGTTTTTGTAAAGCTCGAAAAGTTGGTGAAGCAATGGACTGGTTTGAGGAGATGAAAACTAGAGGCTTGACCCCAGATATTGTTACCCTTTGCACCTTGATTTGTGGGTTATGCAGTAATGGAGAGCTGGAGAAAGCTTATCAGCTATTTGTGACAATAGAAAAAGAATACAAATTCTCATATTCAACGGCTATATTCAACATTATGATCAATGCCTTTTGTGAAAAGTTAAATGTCAGTATGGCAGAGAGGCTCTTTCATAAGATGGGTGGCTGTGGCTGTGCTCCAGACAGTTACACCTATCGTGTCATGATAGATACATACTGCAAAACAGGGAACATTGACCCTGCACAAACTTTTCTACTGGAAAAGATCAATAAAGGATTGGTTCCATCATTTACAATCTGTGGAAGGGTTCTGAACTGTCTTTGTGTGAAGCACAGATTAGGTGAGGCAGTGGGTATTATAAACCTTATGGTGCAGAATGGCATTGTTCCGGAAGAAGTGAACTCAATTTTTGAAGCTGACAAGAAGGAAGTAGCTGCACCTAAAATTGTTGTGGAGCATCTAATGAAGAAGTCCCATATCACATACTATAGTTATGAACTGTTATATGATGGAATTCGGGATAGAAAGTTGGATAAGAAAAAGTTGTTGGACAAGAAAAAGTTCAAGAGAAGCCCTTCCCTAGTCCAGGAAAGGGGCATTTGAATCTTCATAGACCTATATAAAAGATCATAATGTAAGTAGAAGTTATTAGATCTCACATTGAACACAGAAAAGGTCTATGCAGTGTTTCATACCTATCCACCAAATCGATTCTTATTAACTTATGTTTTGCTAGTTCTGTTAGATGATATAAGGTGTCTTCCTTTGGGTGCTACTTCTTTCTAGGGACAGTGAATCGTCTTGGTAATCCACAAAGATTGATTGCCTACAGTTTCATAAATAGCAAGGCATCCAGTTATGTGTAGAAGCACAGGTGAGAAGGTATAGAATCTGCAGACGATGTCTAAGGATAATTGTGCATTTTACTATTGAAAATGTATAGAGGGAAAGAGTGATCCCTAAATCAGGCACAAATATTGGTCGGAATTAAAATATGGTACGATTTTGGTATCCTTCTTTTTGTTACTTCGCACAAATTATAATTAATAAACAAGTTTTGAGCAATACCAGCTCGAGTCAATATAGTAAAATTTTGGTATCATTCATAATCATTATCTTCAAACATATTTCAAACCAACAAATGGCCACGCTAAACTTTCATGACTACGTGTTAGCAAAAAAAAAAAAAAAAAAAAAAAAAAAAAAAAAAAAAAAAAAAAACTACGTTAAAACTCTCAAAATTTGTACGTGTGGGAATTTCAACATCCCCCCAAAAAGCCTAGAATGCAATTACTTGTAGGACGCTGTGAAGATACGCATCCTTGGCATCTGTCAATCTGCAGAAGACTAGTACTTGAAGATTTACAGATATTTCGCCTTCTCAATTGATCCACAGAATTCTCATATTTGGTTCTCAAAAGAACAAAACAAGTCTACAAAAATCAGGAAAACCCTGATTAGTATAACGTGCTGCAGTGTGGCCCTCTATTATTTCATTCCTTACTAGAAATACAATGATCACACGACAGAGAAGTGGCCATGAAGTTGAACAAAGTAACAAAAGCAGTGAAGCCGTTCCTCTGAGAATAGGAGTAAAGAAAAAGGCATAGATAAATTCAGGTAAAGGGTCGACTTTATTTGGCTAATGGTTGACTATCTTATAAATATCACAGGGGAAAAAGGTAAAAGTCTTTAGACCTTACATCTATAGTCAATTTGAGTCACTTTCGGTATCCAGCCGGATCAGTAAGTCACGATGTCTGTTGGTTGCATTCCTGTCTTCTGATTTAAGAACCAAACATGAGGTACTGAGGTGGATATAGAACAGAAAGACTTCCTCTCTTACAAAAAAAATATTCTAAAACTGACCAAGAGCCTTCCTTCTTCACTCAGCTTGTCCCACAAGTTTTTCTGAGATCTGTCATAATTATCAAAACTTACGGATTAGATCATGGGATGAAATCAGAATCAATAAGGTCAGCTAAACATCTTTTGCTGTTTTGCCAACTCTTCGAGTATTCATACTGCAGTTCATTGGTATTCATGCCAAGGTCGTTCTAAATAAAATCAAGACATGCAAACAAAAAAAAAAAAAAAAAAAAAAAAAAAAAAAAGAGAGAGACAAAGGGAAAATCCTTAGCTATAAGGACTTACCAACTATGAACAACAGCTTCTTACAGCAAGCTCCAACCAGGTTCCTTCGTCACTCCAGCTCCCTTCATATGGCTTCTAACGTTCAGGACCTCTTCCCACAGGCCCATATCAGCACAGATGTTGGAAAGAGAGACATAAGCCCCAGTGTCACTTGGCTTCAACTCCATGACCTTTCTTGCCGCTAGTTTTCCAAGTTCAATATCTCCATGTACTTTACAGGCAGCGAGAAGAGTTCCCCAAATGAGAGCATCAGGTTCAATAGGCATATTGTTAATCAGTTCTTCTGCCCTTTTCAGTTGCCCACACCGACCAAGAAGATCTACCATACAAGCATAATGTCGATGTCCCGGTTGTATACCATAGTCTTTCACCATCGAATTAAGGTGGAAATAAGCTTCATCCACCAAACCATTATGGCTACAAGCAGACAAAACCCCAACAAAGGTGACTGGATCAGGCTTGATTCCTTCTTTCTTCATAAGTTCATAGACACATAAAGCTTCAGCACCTTTCCCATGCTGGGCATAACTCACAATCATGGCTGTCCAACCTATCAAATCAGGCTTTCCAATCTGCTCAAATGCTTTGCAGCAGTCTTCTATGCTTCCACATTTGGAGTATACCATTACTAGCGAACTCCCAATAGAAACATCTTTCTCCAAGCCTACTTTCGTAATGATTGCATGGAGTTGAGTCCCAATACCAGGCCTATTTAAAAGCGCAATTGCACCCAGTATGGATGAGATTGAAAAGGGATCGATGGCTAAGCCAGCCTCCAGTAGATCTTGGAATAGCAAAATTGTCTCTTTGATGCACTTGTGTTGAGCATATCCTGAAACCAACGAAGAGCATGCAATATTATCTTTCTCGGGCAATGTTTCAAACACCCTCCGAGCCATCTCCAGGTTGCCGCATTTTGAGTACATAGTCACAAGCGAACCCCCAATAGCTACATCTTTGTCAAGACCCAAACGAACAGAATAACTATGAATCTCTCTGCCTATTTGAATAGAATGAAGAACAGAACATGCATTTAGGACTGTATTTAAAATCATAGAATCAGGAACATATTCTTCAAACAACATTTCTCTAAATAATTGGATGCCCTCTTTTGCATAACCATGTTCTGAGAAACAGGACATCATCGATGCCCATGAAATATGGTCCTTCTTTGGCATGTTTTTAAAAACATGAAAAGCTTCCTCTAGATAGCCACATTTGGAATACATTGTGAAAAGAGCACTGCCAACAGAAATGCCAAATACTAATCCAGTTTTATGCGTGAAGCAGTGAATCTGTCTCCCAAAGGTAATACAGTCGGTCACACTCAAGACACTAGAGGTGCAAAATGTATCTGGTCCCATACTTTCCCGTAACATTTTTTGGAACAATTCACTTGCTTTCTCTTTATCATTGTTCTGTGCAAATGAGGTAATCATAGCTGTCCAAGAACTGAGATTCCTTTGATTGTCCATCTCTCCGAAAACAGTCATAGAAAGATCAATAGCTCCTATTTTCGAATACATGTTAATTAAAGCAGCTCCCACCACCGCATGGGATGAAAAACCAGCTCTTAAAATCCAGGAGTGGAGTTGGATTGCTTCTTTTGTCATGGCTGGATTAGCACATGCAGTTAACACGCTAGTGACTGTATAGCTATTGATTTCCTCCCCCAATTTTCTCATATCTTTGAAAAACTTGAGGGCCATTAAGTAATCATTCTTCTGCACAAAACCAGATATTATGGCAGTCCATGAGACCACATTGCGAATGGGCATCCGCAAGAATATTTTAACAGCTTCATCCATTTCTCCACACTTGCTATACAAATCAATGAGGGCTGTCTCTACAAAAACATCTTCTCCGCCACATTTAATCACTTTCCCCTGAACTCTTTTCCCAAATTCAGGATGTTCAAGTGCAGCACACGCAGTTAGAACACTAGAAAACGTGAAACTATTAGGCTCCAAAAACCCACGACACATTGTGTTGTAAAGATCCAAAGCCATAAAATTCTCCCCATTCCTTACAGCTGCGGACACAATAGCATTCCAGCACACCACATTCTCACAATCAACATCTTGAAACACCCTTAGAGCATCCAGAAAACTAGACTCTTTTGCAAACAAATCGATCATCCCTGCTCGAACATAACCATTAACAAAAAACCCATTTCTCACAGCAAGTGAATAGACCTGCTTACCAAACATTGGGGCTTGAATGGCAGCACAAGCAGATAAAACACTCCCATATGTTATCTCGCTGGGTTCAAAACCCAGGAAATGCATCCTGCAAAATGTTCTCCACGAATCCAAATACAAGAAGTTGTGGTTGAAACTGGAGATAAGGATATTCCAAGAAATGACATTTGGGTGGAGCATTGTATCAAACAGCTTGAGTGCATGGTCCAGAGAGTTAGACTTTGAGTAGCAATCCAGCAAAGAATTTGAAACATAGATATTGGAATGAAGAAGAGTTGCTCGGAGTAACTTGGCATGTAGAACTTTGGTGTGCCTCAAAGAGCATTTTCTGGATTTTACATAATCGCTGAGCAACTGCGAAGGGTCGAAAAGAGGGTAAGTTTCAATTTTGGTGAAGGAAAAACTGGACGCATTGTCTACAGTAGCGACGGAGGAAATCAATCTACGTTGGGATAACAGTGTTTTATTTACGAAAGTTGGAATCCCAGTAAAATTCATTTGTGCTCATTTGGAGATAGGGAAGGAGTGTAACGACTTTGCATAGAGCGGGAAAACAACGGAAGAAAAATGGTTTATGAATGAATTAGGTAATTCTTTATCAATTTTATAAAAACAATATGTCTACCAAGCAAATAAGTCAAGATGGCTGGCAGAGTTGGTCTAAAGCGTCAGTTTCAGGTACTGGTCCGAAAGGGCGTGGGCTTGACAATTTTATGTCATTTTTACAAAAGTTGTATATATTTAATAGACATTACAATTTTAAAAATGTTTCATAATTATTAGTGAGGGGTAGACACGTGATTCATGCCATGCACGTGATTAGTGAGGGCTGAATTATTCTTAAAATTAGAACATATACGTTAGTTATATATATATATACAGCCTCCATAGGAGTGAAGAAACAGAACCAGTTTCATTCAGTGAGCTGATCAGAGAGAGAGAGAGGCAAAGAAGAAGACGAGATATGGGAGAGGAAAGCTCATTGGTGCTTCATGGAATGTGGGCTAGTCCTTTCGGGAAAAGGGTGGAATTTGCCCTTAAAATCAAAGGCATCCCTTTCGAATATGTGGAAGAAGATCTGCAGAACAAGAACCCATCAACCCTCCTGAAATACAACCCTGTTTACAAGAAAGCCCCCGTGCTTGTCCACAATGGCAACCCCATTTCCGAATCACTTGTGATTCTCGAGTACATAGAAGAAACGTGGAAAAATCATGGCCCTGCCCTTCTGCCTCAAGATCCCTACGAACGAGCCCAGCTTCGGTTCTGGGCTGATTTCATTAACAAACAGGTACTCATTTCATTGTCATTATACACTTTCTTCCTCTAACAGGGTTTGATTTGGTTTGGTTTGGTTGGTGCAGTTGTTCGAGGCATCGGTTAAGGTAGTGATGGCGGCAGGGGAAGCACTAGAGAAGGCGATTAAAGACTTGAGAGAGAAGCTCAAAGTGGTTGAAGAGCATGGGGTTAAGAGGCTATTGGGAGATGGAAGTGGACCATTTGCGAACGGACAGGAAGTGGGGTTTGTGGACATAGTAATGTGGTCTGTTCTTGGAGCTTACAAGATCCACGAAGAGATCTTGGGGGTCAAAATTATAGACGAAGAGGAGACCCCCGGCGTGGCCTCATGGCTCAACTCCCTCATACACCATCCTCTTACCAAGGACATCTTACCTTCAAAGGACAAGGTTGTGGGGCTTCTTCAGTACGTTAGGCACAGGCCCTTAAACTCCTCTGCTGCTGCTTGATTCATCCATTTCCTCTCACTGCTGTCTTCTTATTTAAATTAAGTGTTGCCTCTGCTGTGTCGTTGTCGTTTTGTTTCACTCTGTTCAATAAGGATTTGTACTTGTAGTGTGCCAACTTACTCTAATGGAGCCCATGAGGGGCAAAATTATCTACTACTTCCCTCTGCAAATAGTTACCTTACTATTAAAATTTTATTTGTACTTGTGAACGTCACTGCATACATCATCTTCGAAGATTCCGACGTAGTGCTGTCGTTGACCTGGGAGCATCCTTGTGGAATACGAAAAGAGGAGACCCAGTAAAATTCCAAAGTCTTCTTAGCGCCGCCAACACAGCAACATAACTCCTTATTTATAGCTTCCATGGGAGGGACTCGACTGATCACACAACCTTAAAACATTTTTTTATTAAACTCAGGTAGAGGAAAGATTAAGATATGGCAGAGCAAAACAGAGTGGTGCTTCATGGGATGTGGGCGAGCCCTTTTGCGAAGAGGGTCGAACTCGCCCTCAAAATCAAAGGCATCCCTTTTGAGTATGTGGAGGAAGATATCCAGAACAAAAGCCCAGAGCTTGCTAAGCTCAATCCTGTTTACAAGAAAGTTCCTGTACTCGTCCACAATGGAAGACCCATTTGCGAATCCGTTGTAATTATGGAATACATAGATGAAGTTTGGAAGAACAATGGGCCTCCCCTTCTACCTCAAGATCCCTACAGACGATCCCAGATTCGATTCTGGGCTGATTTCGTTCAGAAACAGGTGTTTGAGGGTTTCTTCTTATCAATGACGACTGAATGGGAAGCACAGGAGAAAGCCATTAAGGAAGTGAAAGAGAAGTTGAAAGTTCTTGAAGAACAGGGGTTGAAGAGTTTGCTGGCGGAGGCAGAGGGCAGTCCATTTGTGAACGGCGACGAACTTGGATTCTTGGACATAGTGACGCTGACAGTACTTGGAATGTACGAGATTCACGAAGAGTTTTTTGGAATGAAACTTGTTGAAGAAGAGAAGATCCCAATTATGTACTCGTGGTTGAACAGGTTGAAGGAGCACCCAGTTGCAAAGGAGGCAGGGGCTCCCAAGGAAAAGGTTTTGGCGCTTCTTCAGTTCATCAGGCAAAAGGCTCTACGCTCCACCGCTGCTTAACTTCTGCAACTCCATCTCTGCCTCAGCATGAGTACTGCATAAATAAACCTAAATTTAGTTTCCATTAAGATTGTTGATCCATGGATGATCAACTTATATGAATGAGTTTGCAAAAATATTCAAAAGTTGTCTAATTTATGTACTGAACCTTCTATAAACTCGTTGGTATTCGTGAAATTTATTAGTATCTAATTTTAAATTTGCCACAAATGGAAAGATCCTGAACGCCATGAGACTACTTTATTATAAAAATGGAAAGTTGCTTTAGAAATGAGTAAAATTTGCCCACTAGCTGGGTTCAGATAATGCCACGGGGCTTCTCCGGGAACAGAGCCGGCTTCCGGCGAGCAGAAGACGGCGACTGATGAAACGCTGTGTGAGACAGAGACTTGATGGACGACACGAGGAGAGGATGGAGAGAAATGAGTGGAGGAGAATTTTTTTTTAAGATTTTTAAAATAAATAAAATAAAATAGTTAGAGGACTATGGAATTTTAAATAAAATAAAATGAACAAATGACATGGTTGCTAAATTCCGGGTTAGAATGAATAGCAGAGAAGTTCACTGCCTTGCGTTATTAAGCAAATGCAGATCTCTTAGAACCTTGAAGCAAATCCACGCTTTTACGTTCAAAACAGGCTTAAATTCCGACCCATTAGTCGCCGGCAAGCTTCTTCTTCATTGTGCAGTTACACTTCCTGATTCTGTTCGCTACGCTGGACGCCTCTTCCTTGACATTCGAAATCCAGATGTGTTCATGTACAACACACTCATCCGTGGACTTTCCGATTCTGACACCCCCTCTCATGCCCTTCTACTGTTTGTTGAAATGCGTCGCAAATCCATGGCTTTACCCGATAGTTTCACTTTTGCTTTTGTGCTCAAAGCTGCCGCTAATTGCAGGGCTCTCAGAAATGGGTTGCAATTGCATCGCCAAGCTATTGGTTATGGTCTGGATACCCATCTTTTTGTTGGGACGACACTGATCAGCATGTATGCTGAATGTGCAAGCTTGGCCTTTGCACGGCAGGTGTTTGATGAAATGATTGAACCAAATATTGTTGCTTGGAATGCCATTGTTGCTGCGTGTTTTAGGTGCGAGGACGTTAAGAATGCAGAGCAAGTGTTCCATCGGATGCCCATAAAAAACTTAACCTCGTGGAACATCATGCTTGCAGGGTACACAAAAGCAGGTGAGCTTCGGCTAGCCAGGGAGGTGTTTATGAAAATGCCTTTGAAAGATGAAGTTTCGTGGAGTAGTATGATTGTTGGGTTCGCTCATAATGGCAGCTTTAACAACGCTTTCGCATTTTTCAGGGAGTTGCGGCAGGACGGGATGAGACCAAATGAGGTAAGCCTCACAGGTGCGCTTTCTGCATGTGCACAAGCTGGGGCATTCGAGTTTGGAAGAATCCTACATGGGTTTGTTGAAAAATCTGGCTTTCTGCAGATTGTTTCAGTGAGTAATGCACTGATCGATACTTACTCTAAATGTGGGAATTTGGATATGGCTCGTTTGATCTTTGATAATATGCTGGAAAGGAGTGTTGTCTCTTGGACAGCCATGATTACAGGGCTCGCAATGCATGGCTACGGGGAGGAAGCAATCAGATTATTTAATGAGATGGAAGAGTCTAATATTAAGCCCGACGGTATCACCTTTATATCCATCTTGTATGCTTGTAGCCATGCTGGATTGGTTGATTTGGGATGTTCTTATTTTTCAAGGATGGTAAATATTTACGGTATTGAACCCGTAATTGAACATTATGGTTGCATAGTTGATCTTTATGGTCGAGCTGGTAAGCTGCAGCAAGCTTTTGACTTTGTATCTCAAATGCCAGTTTCACCGAATGATATTGTCTGGAGGACACTTCTTGGAGCTTGTAGCATTCATGGTAACTTAGAACTGGCAGGGCAAGTAAAGAGGCGACTCTTCGAACTCGACCCCGAAAACTCTGGAGATCATGTTCTTTTGTCAAACATTTATGCAGTTGCGGGGAAATGGAAGGATGTTGCCACTTTAAGAAGATCAATGACTCACCAGAAACTTAAGAAAACTCCTGGTTGGAGCATGATTGAAGTCGATAGAATCATGTATAGTTTTGTTGCAGGAGAGAAGCAAAATGACATAGCAGAAGAGGCACATCAAAAACTAAGGGAGATAATGTCGAGGATGAGAATAGAAGGAGTTTATGTTCCAGAAGTTGGAAGTGTATTGCATGATATAGAAGTGGAAGAAAAGGAAGACTCTGTTTCACAGCACAGTGAGAAGCTAGCAGTTGCTTTTGGGATGGTGAGGCTGCCAAGAGGAAGAGGCATAAGAGTGGTGAAGAATTTAAGAATTTGCAGGGACTGTCACACTGTGATGAAGCTGATTTCTAAGGTGTATGAAGTAGAAATTGTGGTGAGAGATAGAAGTCGGTTCCACTCTTTCACACATGGTTCATGTTCGTGCAGAGACTACTGGTAATTAGTTAAGTAAACTAGAGTTGAAATTAGCATCCTATACTAGAAGGGAAAGCCTGCAAATAAGCTGATATCAAAATCAAGCCAGAAAATGGATAACCTGCTTCATCAACGGAATTGCAACACATCACTGGTCCGTGCAAAAGTTAGCAAGCCCAAAGAATATTGTTGAGTAATATATCCTTTTTTGGAATGTTACAATCCTATAGTGCAGAAGGGGAGGTACTAAATATAAATTCTGGCCTCTAACTTTGGTAGAGTAGGTGATCATTAGAGATTGTCATACTGTGTTGTAGGTTTACGAATGTTGATCATTGAAATTGAAAGGCAATAGGTTAAGATATTAGTCTTATATGCATGCAACCATGTGGTTCTACTTAGCGATAGGTCTTGTTGGTATTGCTACTCGTTTCTACTTTTCAACATTTTCCGCTCCCATAATTTGTTTATCTTCTAGCCTGCCATCTTGTCATTTCTTGTGGTAATTACCCACCTTCTATAATCTGCTTGTGCCTGGACTCTCGTATATACATCCTCTCAAAATAGTTCCTCTTTTAGATTTTGCATTTCAACAATATTTTCAGTTCAAAACTAACATTTTCTAGTATCAAATCAAAAAGAGGTACTACTTGCATCAGGAGTTGGTGTGTGCTGTGCTAGGGTTTCATCTTATGCTGGTTGAATGCAGATGAAGGCATAAGTTTGTGATCCACAATTCACACCTCTTTCCAAACATCAAACCATCCACTATAGAGAGAACTGAGAAGGCCCTAATATTTTCCTTATTGTTCCTCTTGTGAAGTGCTGAGGGTGGCAGATGGGCTGGTGGATTAAAGCTTTGGTTAAAAGACCTCGGGTTACGCGTAGACTGTGTCACGGTCATGCTTGTCCAAGGCGTGTTGTCCATTGCCGCTTTTTCGTATGATGCCAAAACTCTTGTCTTGTATTGCTTTTATCGCGTTTTTTACTGCTTTCATGATGCTTTGTAAGTGTGGGACGGAGGTCATAAATAAAATAGTTTTATTTATTTATTTATTCATTTATTATTATTATTATTAGTGCAAATAATTTTTGTTTTTCGTTCGTTGTGTTTGAACAATCTTTGGTGTTATCCCTTTCAACCCATTCACATTTCAAAGTTTTCCACTTACATCCGGATTTTGACACCTAATGCTGCCTTACTTATGGTGTTCCATATGGGCCCACCTTGTCTATTTTGTTTTATGGGCTCCAACTTTACCTAATTGGCCCAATGTTTCCTCCTTACACATTTGTCCCCTTTCCTCTTTAAAAAGTTTTAAAATGCCCATTTTTATTCCTAATAATATAGGGTCAAGCTCTGCTCTTTTCTTTTTTTTTTTTTCCTTCTTTTATGAATTTTTTTTTTTTCTTCTCTTAATCTCGTTGGTGAGGTAAGGTAAGTGCTTAGGCACTCCATGCGATGTTTAAATCAAGTTTAGTTTGTAATATTTTATGTTTAAAATTATTTATTTTTTTGTAAATGTATAATTTAAATATGAGACATTTATTTTTAATTACACCTTCATATGAGCTGAGACATAAGTAGTACCATTTGAATAATTTACTTTTGAAAAAAAAAGAACTAAGAAATAAAATAATTATGTTTAAAAGTAGAGGTTTTTCATCCTCAATTAAATCTAGAAATCTCTGCTGAATAATTGGAGACAGTCTCGTACGTCCTTTCCAATTCAATCGTCTTTAAACTCGAAACTCCAAGCTAGAGCGCTGCTGGCCATACACGTGTCCCTTCTACTAGGTCAAGACTGCGTGGCATTTCCTAGCTTTGCGTGACATTTATGATTTATCCATAATTAATTTGTTTATTACACGTGGTACCATTTAAGTGGCTTCCTCGAACAGAGTGTGCAAAACCTTAGTATTTAAGCACTTGATTATCTAGATAATTTTTTAATTACACGTGGCATCTTCTTGACGGCTTCCCTTGTAAAGACCCATCACTATTTAGTGTTCAGTATATGTATATATGATAAGAAATTACAGCTCATTACTACGCGCACACGTGGCACCAGGGATAACGGTTGGTTCTTTAACATGTGATTCAAATTTATTTATTTTTTGTAAAATTTTAATATCTAAATACTCAATATTCACATCTAATCTATACGTTTTAAAACCAAAACAAAGTTGATATTAATATGTTAGTACACATAATAATTTAATAATTAATAAATATATATGATTCATTATAAAACAAAAAAAACTTTTAATAATAAATATTTAAATTAAAGTTATAGATAATGATAGGATGAAGGTGAGTTGAAATGGAGAGGTTTGGAGGGAAAAAGGTGGTGGTGTAAATAGTCAAAGAAGGATGTGGGCATAATCAAAATGGAGGATCAAATGGGCGCATCCGAGTAGTTACATTCACATTTTCTGTTGACTTAAATGCAACCACATCCATTTATTACACATCCTAATCGTATGTACTTAATATGATTTTATAACCTTAGATATGATTGCATTTTAATTATTTATTTCATTATTATACGTTCTTTCCTCCGTCAAAAAAAAAATTAAAACTAATTTTGTTATCGTATACTTGTTAATTTACGTCTAATCAACTGAGTCGAGACTCACGACCTAATGTGATATATATATTATTCTATCATATTGATGAAATATTGCATTCAATTGCTTTTGTATGCACTTATTTATAACTACCCATATAATTGGGATGCATAAATGAGAACATTACTTTTTAATTCCCCACTTTCGACTCTAGTTCTAAAGGTTTTAATATTATTTTTTAAATATAATTTAAAGAAAAAATAATTAGTAGCCCAATTGAGATGATTTATCTAATTTGGTCCGCAGATATTTCAACAAATAGCAAACTCATTTATAGTTCGGGTCTCTATTGAAGGCTCCTAAGCTTATTTTAACCGAATCAAATTGGACGATGATTTATTTATTGTTTACTACGCTAAGAAGTTTGATACAAAAAGTGTAGATGCTGCGAGTGTTTTTGGGTTCTAGAAATGACATAAATAATAAATAGAGAGTTTAGTGTAGAATGAGAAGGAAACCAAGTGAGGATTGAAGTGAGATATACAGACTGCATTGTCACCGGTGACACGTGGGTTTATTTGTCGACATGTCCGCATCGACATTTCTCCGCCCAATAAATATAATAAATAATAATAAGTAATAAACATTTTACTCGCCACCATAAATTTTAGACGAAGAGAGGGAGAAATTAATTGTGTATGGAGATTTTGATTAAAGGGAAAATTTCTAAATCCGGAAATGTCGATACAACTTACATATTTTCATATTTAGAAGTGTTTCAAAGTTCCTTAATTATGTAATGCGCATGTCAAATTATAACAGCTACTTAATTACTCTCTCTTATTTTCAATAATAAAATCCTCCCCTAACCCCACAAAATCTCTCTCCAAATTCCAACCAATTCTCCCCCTAAATTTGGAAAATACCTTTGAATGCTCACTTTGTTTCTCGCGGTAAATTGCATATAATTATCTCCATTAAACAACGGGGGGTAACAAATTCATCTTTAACCCAAGATTATGGTTTGGGATGCTTACGAATGATGAAGAAATTGGAATCTAATTTTATTTTTATTTTGTTTACTACACCAAAAAAGACAACAATTTGGAAAGATATATATGAATTTCCACTGATTTGGGTTTTCTTTATTATGTGAGAAGTGAGAAGAGTGGTCCGAGGCATCCCCACGTCTTGCTTTCCTTCACACATCTTCTGGATGATCAAACCTGATGGACGGTTGAGGTTTCACCACGTAACTGATGAAGTCCAAATCACCATTACTCGCACCTCCCCACGTGTCATAAAAATCAAACCTTTTTCATTGTACTTCTCTTGCCCTACATCATCATTCTCAATTTAGTTTTATTTCCTTTCTTCATTTAATGGTCAATTTGTTTCCAATATATATATATATTATCTATTTTACTTCCTCATTTAAGTTGGACTGAAAGAAACAAAATTGATGATTTAGAACGAGTGAGTGTAAGGTTAGAAGAAACAGGGTTAAAACGAGGTTTAAATTTCCGTTTGAACCCACTTCCAAACATTGTGAAGTCCGAAAGCAAAACAACAAAAGAAAAGTGAGTAAATAAAGGTAGTGAATTAGGGTTTGGTTTTGGTTTGCTGTGTGCCACAACAATACCCACATTGAATGCAGTTCGGGGCCTGTGAGCGTAAGGTGAGGATAAACAAAAAAGAGAGCTGACTTTTTGGTATGAAACACTAAATGCAGATTGCTGTACGTTTTGACCCTTTTGAGTGATGCACCCCATCTAATCATCGCATTCCCAAGCCCAACTCTCTCTCTCTCTCTCTATACATATATATATATATATATATATACAAATTCTCTACATATAGCCACCCCTGAATTTGCGTGGAAATATATGGGTGTTTTCAGAGGGTAAGGCAGAGGGTTTTGAGAAAGAAAGTGGGAAATGATGGGAAGGCCACCCTGTTGCGAGAAAGTGGGCGTGAAGAAAGGGCCATGGACTCCCGAGGAAGATATCAGCTTGGTTTCTTACATTCAACAACATGGACCTGGTAACTGGAGATCCGTTCCAACCAACACTGGTAAATTTCTTACCTTGTTCTTTCTTCTTCTTCTTCTTTGCTGCCTTGGTTTCTGCATTAAATTCCTGCACTTAATTTCTTACCTACTCTACTCTTTCTGTTTCATTCCTTTCCCTACAATTTCTTCAACAAACTCTGTTTTCAATATAATCAATTTTTGTCTTTTCAGGCCTGCTAAGATGCAGTAAGAGCTGCAGGCTGAGATGGACTAATTACCTCCGCCCAGGCATCAAGCGTGGCAACTTCACTGATCATGAAGACAAGATGATAATTCACCTCCAAGCTCTTTTGGGCAACAGGTAATCCAAAATTCAAAATTAATTTGTATATGCTATATACATATATGTGTGGTTCTGATGTGAAAATTGTGCAGATGGGCAGCCATAGCTTCCTACCTTCCCCAAAGAACGGACAACGATATAAAGAACTATTGGAACACCCACTTGAAAAAAAAGCTGAAAAGGGTGCAATCAGGGACTGATGGTGGTGCCCAAGATCGGTTCACACCCTCACAGACCAGTACACTCTGTAAAGGGCAGTGGGAAAGAAGGCTCCAAACGGATATTCACACAGCCAAAAGAGCTCTTTGTGAAGCTCTATCCCTTGACAAACAAAACCCATTTGGAATCATAGAGGATTCAAAACCCCAAACTGACAATCCGATCCTCCAATCACCGCCGCCGCCGCCGCCACCAACAACAACTACTTCCCCATATGCATCAAGCGCTGAGAACATCGCCAGATTGCTTGAGAATTGGATGAAGAAGTCACCAGAAAAGTCATCAGAAATTACAACACAAGCTTGCGTGAGCGAGGGATCACAGAGTGCAACAAATTGCAACAACTCACCAGATGGGCCCACCTTGGATGATTCCAGCTGCTTTTTGAATTTCAACAATACTTCTTCAACCTCAACGGCAAATCAAGAAGTCCCTCTTACTTTTCTGGAGAAGTGGCTGTTTGACGATGCAGCTTTGGCTAATGTTCATGCCGATCAGGACTTCGTTAGCGTGTCATTAGAAGCTCAAACTGAAGGTTTGTTTTAATTTTGGTTAAATTAGCAATGTTGCGTCTTTGGTTTGCACAGCTTCTACTTCTTTTGTGTGGACTGCTCAGTACACCAGGAGGAGAACATACCAAAACTCTTTTACACTATATTATTCCTGTCCAGGCATAAACAAAGTGTAAATTAACAACTTTTTCTTTTTTTCTTATAAAAAAAGTACATATAAATGTGTGTATATAGATATATATATATATCACATGTACCTAAGTTATGTGCTATATATATAATATATACATACACGGAAATAAAAATCATATATTATTTCTCACCTTGGCATAATTAAAATGAGCGATGTGTATGTGTTTTTTTAAAAGTGAAATGCGTTGGAATAAATTTCGCACCTAACTTTGGCGGTATATGGAATAAACTTAGCTTTTATTCATGCATCCATTATAATTAGGATAATAATAATAGGAGAGGTATTTATAATATAAAAGTATAAATATAAATTCTTGAATAATAATTAGCCTCTTATATACCTAATTGTGATTACATAAAATTGAATTTGGTATTAATAAGGAGTTGTACAAGAAAAGGTTTTAAGTCATTAAAGTGAGAAAGGAATGGTGTTAGATTGAAAAATATTAAAAAATTTGAATGTAATGTATGAACACATGAAGGTAAGGTGTAGCAGAGAATGTGAAGGGAGGAGGCGGCAGCGTTGTGTAAAAGACAAGATATAAGAGTTGCATATGAGTTTAGGGTTTAGGTTAAAGAAGGATGATTGTATTGGAGCGAAAGAGAAAGGTAAGGACATAATTAAGAGGAAAAGGAGGAGAATGTTATGAACACCATTCATTGTCACATTTCCCAACAACCTCTGAATCATAACCATATTTCATCATATTCCCTAAAACCACTGCTGTGTTTGTGTTTCTATGGATCAGGAATGTGGCTTCGAAATCTGGAAGAACCATGCCATCCAACCTCTTAAATGCCAACTTTGAAATTGCTTCAACCTCAACCTCAACCTCAACTCTATGAGCCTCATTAATTGCAGCTGCAACAAAACAATCATATCCCTCTTTTCTTGTTCTTTTGAATTGTTAAACAAAAAAGACACGCAACTTTATGGAAGCAAGAGATCTGTGTTTGGATGCCATGGCTTTCCCCAAGACAAATTGAACCATAAACTCTTTCACGCAGAGATAACAGATCAAGTGGGCTCTTTATGTGTATGATATCAAAGGCAAAGATGGGCTTTGATTAGGCCAACTCTAAACTCACTCACTCAGTCTCCACCTTATATTTATCACAATTATCGAGGGATGAGGGAAGATATGAAAATGAAGTTCAGCCCTCACAATTTCGTATCTTAATTAAAACCTCCACCTTTGTTTTGTCGCACAATGTCAACCACTGCGCCCACCATTTTCATACTTTAACAACTTCATGAACTATGAACACATATGAACACAGAAGCCAGGGTTTTAAGCTTCCAGTTCAGATTTCGAGAACACATAGATAAAGAATAAGAAACGATTGTTTGTGAAATAGTGAGTGATTGAATGGTTGATGAGAATATTGAGTTAAGGAGAGAAGAATGCTCTCACATATATAGGGAGGAATACAAGAAGATATTTAGAAAAAAATATATTTAGAAAATCTACCTAAAACTCTATAAAAAAAAAACAAAAACTCATAAGACAGCCATCTAAATAAGTACATGATCTAAGGAGATTTAGTAAGACAGCCATCTAAATAAATACATAATCTTTAACAAGTGGGATCAAATGGAAGCATCATTTTTTTCTTCTTCTTCTTTACCCCACACCATCTCATTAACGCTAAGCTTGACTTCCACACTCTTATAAAAAATATTTCATTCAATCTCTTCAATTGATATGAGATATCACAATTCACCCCTTCATGACTCAACATGACTCAACATCCTCCTTCATGACTTAACATTCTCGTTGACGCTCGTTCCCTTTCTCCACAATCCACTCCCCTATAGAGCCCAATGTTCTTATTGGCATGCCACCTCATGTCCACCCCCTTTCCGGACTCAACCTCCTAGGGGGCCCAACATCTTTACTGGCATACTGCCTCGTGTCCACCCTCTCTTCGGGGCTCAGCCTCCTCATTAGCACATCGTTCGACGTTTGACTCTGATACCGCCCAAGTCCACCACTCATAGATATTGTCCTCTTTGTGATTTTCTTTTCGGGTTTTTCCTCAAAATTTTTAAAATGAGTCTATTAGAAAGAGGTTTTTACACCCGTCCCTCTCCATTAAATTAATAAATGCTTAATCTCCTGTTCATGGAGTGCAAGAGAGAATGAAGAGGGAGGTAGGCCTAAACAGCCCAGCACCCTCTCCGCTTATAAAGGAGCATTGAATGGATTGGTTGGAGTTACAAAATTGAGCATACTAGGGCTACCCGTATAACAACATTTCAAGGTATACAAAGCATCACCATTCCATTGGACTAGAAAGAAAGCAAAAGAAAATGGATTGACGTACATATCCAACTGATTTTTCATCTTTTTCTTTTTATGGGGTCAGAATTGAATTGAGAAGAAGCTTAATCAAGAATCAAGGTTATAAATTTCGTAGTAAATGAGTATTAAAAGTGGGTGAATTAGGTGGCCTACATCCAGAAGGAAGAAAGTGAGCAATAAAGAAATGGGCCAGGTGCTCAATGTTGGACTACTTGTTTCACGCGTCCCAACCGTCCAGCCCAAAAGCCCAATCTAATCATCGTACACACACGGGGCATGTGCAAATAACATAATTTTCAAATTCATTTTTAAGATATGAAAATAATAAACTAATAGAAATGAGAATTGTAATGGGTAAGGAGGGAGGGATTTTGTTTTCTTGTTGAAAACCAGTAGTAAATATTGAAGAATACTTGGTCAAAGTGTATAAAGTGGGATTCATTCGCCGTAGAAATTCTCTAGTTTTCTTCTTCCTTCATTAATGCCTCCGAACCCAGGTGACTTCTCATGGGGAATGACCTTCAATCAGACCTGCTCTCTGCTCAACACTAAGATTTGTAAGCTTTCGATTCATCTCCTTCTCTACTTCTAAATGCAAAGCTTTCCATAGCATTTCTTCTGGGTTTATACCCATTTCAAAATCGAATGCAAGATGAGCAAATCCTGCTCTTTTGATTCTTGAGTATTGGGTATTGGATTAGTTTTAATGGGTTCGTGAGAACTCCTTCGATAGATGCGAAGTGGGATCCCTTCTTTGCTCAAACCTTCTATTGCCTCTGGTTCGGAATGGAACTTCCTCTGTTTGCAGCATTGAAAAGGTTTCCGTATTCGGATTTCTAAAGAATCTTTAACTTGTTTGACCATTGTATTGACGGATTGGGTCTTTTCTGATTCTCTTAATTTAACGGACTTGGCTTCTGCAATGTTGGACAAAAGCATGCTTCCGACTAGAATATTTTTATACTTGATAACCATGTCTATGTTCCTTCTGATTCTTTCTTCTGTATTCATTCTACAATCCGACTGCAATTCGTTCTTACCCAGTTCAGTACTCAAGTTCATTGTTGTTAACAATACTTCAAGTTACCTAAAACACAATGCGGACAATGAACCAATGGAGCTTCCTACGCTAGCTCTGGAAGCTCCCCCAGTGGGATTCAAAGTAGCCATTAGAGATAGGGATATGGATTATTCAGTTTCTAACCAGACAGACTTGGCCTGTGATCCTGCGAAGGCTCGTTTGAGAGTATTCATGTATGATCTTCCGCCTTTACTTCACTTTGGGTTATTGGGGTGGAAGGGAGAAAAGGATCAAGTTTGGCCTAATCTCAGTAATAGAAGTCAAATCCCATCATATCCAGGTGGGCTGAACTTACAGCACAGTATGGAGTACTGGCTTACACTTGATCTTTTATCATCAAATGTCCCAAATATTGGTCATACTTGCACAGCGGTTAGGGTAAAGAATTCAAGTCAAGCAGATGTGGTGTTTGTGCCATTTTTCTCATCCTTGAGTTACAACAAACATTCTAAATTACTTGGGAAGGAGAAAATCAATGTGAACAAGATATTGCAGCATAAGTTGATCCATTTCTTGTTTGGTCAGAAGGAGTGGAGGCGAGTGGGTGGAAAGGATCATCTCATAGTTGCTCACCACCCGAATAGTATGTTGGATGCGAGAGAGAAACTGGGCTCGGCCATGTTTGTGCTAGCAGATTTTGGAAGGTACCCAGCAGCCATTGCAAATATTGAAAAAGATATTATTGCTCCTTACAGACATGTAGTGACGACAGTTCCTAGTACCGAATCTGCCACATTTGACGAGCGTCCTATTTTGGTGTATTTTCAAGGAGCTATATACAGGAAGGATGTAAGTCTTTCTGCAACTTCGAGTAACTTATTGGTGTGCTATGCTTCTCTAAGTTTTCCTCTCCCTAATCTTATTTTTGGCAAAATTATGTTCTGCATTGGTGTTTCATATCATTGCCTGAATCCCTTTGTTGGTTGATGGGAAATTCATGAAATATGATATCGTTAAGATGGACTCGTTGATCTTGAGGAGTGTCAAAATTAAATATTTGATGCTTAATGGATTTATCTGCACAATGGTCAATCCTGTTATATGCAGTGGAAAAGCCAATAACATGCATAAACATAGCTAGCATAAACTAAAGACTATCCTTCGTCACGCATGATTATTTAAAGTCAAATTGCATTTCCTCTGCTGTGTTTGGTTTCTACTGTTGCATTGCTCGCATTTATCATCTTTTTCTTAGGTTCTTTTTAGTCGCCATGTGTTCTTATAATTATCTGATAACATTGAAGCTAATGAAAGTTATTCTAATTTTCTTTTTGAATTCATCTTCAGGGGGGAGTAATTCGCCAAGAACTATATTACCTTCTGAAAGATGAGGAAGGCGTTCATTTTACTTTTGGAAGTGTCAAGGGAAATGGAATCAACGAGGCAGGCCAAGGAATGGCCTCATCCAAGTTCTGCCTCAATATTGCAGGAGACACCCCATCATCAAACCGACTTTTCGATTCCATTGCAAGTCATTGTGTTCCTGTTATTATAAGTGACGA